GTCACGCTCATGATAGTAAGACATCCATCACTCTGCCCAGCCATGCGCCAGAGATAACTTAGAACCATGTTGAGCACTAGTCTATGCCTCGGGCTCTGCCGGTCTGTGGCCAGCGCTCGACGCTGGTTGATTCTTCTAGGCATTAATACTCCTACGGACCTGGGACCGTTCCCTAAACTTGGCAATGGCGGTGACGAGAGTGAAGAAGAAAGTGGCCAGGGAAGAATTGCGAGGAGTTTTACTGTAGATCAGAATATGTAAAGAAAGAGCCGTCTGGACCCCTCTGCGTAGCTCTGGCTAGATTCTCAGGTGCCATGTCTGGCTGTGTTTAGGCTGTGTTCGGGCACCTGGATAAACTCTGCGCAGCTGAGCTCAGGTCCATGTAGGTACCTAAACAGAGCTACCCAAACTTCATTTTTCAGACCTTTAGGCCTTAGACTCTGATATTGCTGTGCGCAAGTAACTACATGGAGCTACACACATCTATGCCGACCTAGGCAGAACTGGCCAGATCTGGCCAGAGCTACACAACTAACTACACAGGGTCTGTCCAGGCACCTCCACAGAGAAGCATGTGTAGCTCTGGGTAGGGACCTGAGTTAAGACTCTATTGAGGGTGGGATGGAACGTAGTGAGTAACCAAGACCCTTATACGCGGTCGGGACACCCGAGTCGTGCTCAATTTTCTTCAAGTGATGGTTTGAGAGCTGGAAGCCATTGATGGAAACAGTGGGGGAGCGCGTGAACACAAATAGAGGCACAGGGATCTCTGCTGCGTAAAGCTCAACGGCGAGGAACCGGGAGGGCGTGGGTTGAAATTTCGGAGCGGATTTTGGCGTCGACGGCCATGAGGCCAAAATAAACGGTCGCAAGAACTAGAATGAGTGCGGAAATCATGGTGACTACAGCATCAGGCTGCAACACATCTGAAAAAGACAGTAGGTGAGATCCAAAAGCTCAGATTTTCTTGAAATCATGTACCATTGGTGGCTATAGAGACTGTGGTGTGGGCGGAATTTTTCTCACCATATTGCTCTTGTCTATTTTAAACTTGACAAAGGAATTTATAGCTGATGCCGATAAGCACCATTCGCAAGGGGAAAGAAACATACCGATACCGATCAAGATTGCTAACCATCTTATGGTATGAGCACTTGAGACTGTAATCTTATCTCTGGGCACTTAGATGGATGATAAAACAGAGGGTCAAATTGTGACACACACACACATATATATATATCTACTGCCATGAATCAGAAATGTAGGGAGATATGTAGGCACATTCGCTGGGAAAGACTGGGAAATAATATTTGGTGGAACCATGTACGGATTTTTGAACATGCCATTTGAAATTCACAGAGAATACTTTACACAAGGAGTGGCGTACTTGAATGTATTGATGCGACTGGGTCACAAAAAAAGGTGCAAGAGGTAGTTAACATGCCTTTGGTGGGAGTCAAACCCACACTGTCATCAGAATTGAAGGCCTCTGACTCAACAGTTGAAGATGACCGACTGTGATCTACAAAGGCTTTCTTGAGCTGTTTCTCAACCACAATTTGAATAGTAGATACCTGGCCAAAACCTCAAATTGAACTGACTCAATAATTGGCAGCAAAAGGGCATCAACAGACGAAGATAATTGCATGATCTACAAAGGCTTCATTGAGCTTTGTTCAACATTGCTTACTCCAAGGTGAAAATCAGTATTGCAGGGGCGTCTTTCAACATGTGCCAGGTGAAATATGATGCAAGTTGGTTTCCAAAAATTAATATTAATAATAAATACAGTTCCAAGCTTCCGCTCACTTTTACTTCTCTTTGCTGTACTGAATCCTGAGCATTTTGGCCAGTGGAGAAATTTAAAAGAATACATATACCTGACACAAGAAAACAGTACCGAGGACCGTAATGCCTTCAGTGGGAGTCAAACCCACATTGTTCCATCCAGCGACAGCACATGAGCTGGTAGTTGATGATCAACCGTGATCTACAAAGGCTGTATCGACCCTTATTCTGGGCTGTGGTATAAGTAGGATGATTTTCAGGGCGGGGCGGGGGGGCTTCAACAGGCTAACAGGCAGGATACTTTGAAGCAAGTTGGAATTTTACTCAATACACACTAAACTCCATGCCCTTTCCTGAATTTTCAAATTCTGAACCTCAACTAGCTGAAATATCTCCGGCAGAAAAAGGAAAGAAATAGGCAGCGACAATGATATGTGTATGCCTTTGGTGGGAGTTGAACCCACACTCTCCTCAAAATAGATGGGAAATTCGACCTAGCAGTTCAAGTTGAAGATGATTTTCTGAACCTCAACTAGCTGAAATATCTCCGGCAGAAAAAGGAAAGAAATAGGCAGCGACAATGATATGTGTATGTCTTTGGTGGGAGTTGAACCCACACTCTCCTCAAAATAGATGGGAAATTCGACCTAGCAGTTCAAGTTGAAGATGATTGACCGCAATCTACAAAGGCTTTCTTGAGCTATTTCTCAACTACACAATAATTGTCTTCTGAATTCAAGTAAGAAAGTCTGAGCAACGAGACTATTTCTTGAATACATACTGGACTGGACAAATCTGAATCAGTGGGAGGCTCAGAAATCCAACAGTTGTATCTATGTACTTTTCTCAATGCAGTATAGTCTGGGGATACGTTGCGAGGTGCAAAAAACACGGTAGGAACTTGGCTATGCCTTTGGTGGGAGTTGAACCCACAGTGTCTTCATAATTTCTCGCAGCTCCGCTATGAACTTGAAGAGGATCCCACAATCTACAAAGGCCTTCCTACTTTCTTGCCCCGTGGTATGTGATATGGGGTACTGAAGTTATAATATCAAGGCAGCTAACATGACAGTCTTGTTGGTGTGCAAGTTGGGAAATGATACATAGTTTGAACCATGGCCACCTACCAGGAGTTTTGAAGCACATGAATGGGAGAGTTCGAAAATAAATAAACAAATATTCATGCAAGAGCGGTGTAAACGCGTCAATGACAAATGTGACTGGGTCCAAAAAAAACTGAAGAGCTAAACCATCTCTTCAGCGGGAGTTGAACCCACACTCTTCATGATTTCCATCCTAGCAATCATGAAATGAAGATGACCCCGCAATCTACAAAGACCTTCCTGCTCATTTCTTGCCCTGTGGTATGTGGGGATAAATCAAAATGCACAAGGCAGCTATCAAAATGCTCTTGTCGGTGTGGGAGACCAGGAATATGGAATACATACTACTACCACTAGTATTAGTTGAACCATGCACAGCGGATTTTCGAAAACATGTAAATGGGAGAGTTCAAAAATGAATAAATAAATATTCATGCCAGAAGGTGTAAACACGTTGATGCGAGCGGGTCCAAAATGAAAAAAATCGTTGATCACAAAAGATCTCAGATATGCCTTCGGTGGGAGTCGAACCCACTGTTTCTTCATAATTTCTCGCAGCTCCGCTATGAACTTGAAGAGGATTCCACAATCTACAAAGGCTTTGCTCAGCCTTTCCTGCACCGTGGTACATCACATATATATGTACTGCGCCAAATATGTCTGAAATGTCCAGCAACATGTACGTTCACTGGAAAAGACCGGGAAATGAATGCGTGCATGGTGTAGCCATGTACGGATTTTTGAACATGCCGTTTGAAAGTCAAAGAAATTATGTTTAAGTTACATAAAGAAGGTGTAAGCGCGTTGATGCAACGGGGTCCAAACAAAAAGATGGGTGTGATGAGACCGCAGATGCCTTCGGTGGGAGTTGAACCCACACGGTCTTCATATGCATTCCTCAGGGAAGGGGCACATAAATTGAAGAGGATCCCGCAATCTACAAAGGCTTTGCTGAGCCTTTCCTGCACCATGGTATATACTGCGCCAAATATGTCTGAAATGTCCAGTAACATGCACATTTACTGGAACAGACTGGGAAATGAATGCATGTGGTGTAGTCATGTACGGATTTTCGAACATAATATGCAGTTCAAAAATCAAAGAAATTAATTCAATTTAAAGAGTAGTTGATGCGACCAGGTCCAAACAAAAAGATGTGCCCAAATAACGACGCATGCCTTCGGTGGGAGTTGAACCCACACTGTCTTCATATGCATTCCTCTCGGTGATCATGAAATGAAGAGGATCCCACAATCTACAAAGGCTTTGTTCAACCTTTCCTGCACCATGGTATATCACATATATATGTACTGCGCCCAATATGTCTGAAATGTCCAGCAACATGCACGTTCACTGGAAAAGACTGGGAAATGAATGTGTGTGTGGTGTAGCCATGTACGGACTTTCTTTTAAATATGCTGTTCTAAATTCAAAGAATTTGATTTAATTTAAATAGAGAGTGGTGTAAGCGCGTCGATGCGACGGGGTCCAAATAAAAAGATGGGTTTGATACTTAAGACCGATGCCTTCAGTGGGAGTCGAACCCACACTGTCTTTATAATTTTATTCTTGCAATCATGAATGAAGAAGATGATCCCGCGATCTACGAAGGCTTTATTTGCTTTGTTTTGAACCACAATAGTAATTACCCGTTGCCCTGTTAAGGGGATCTCATTGCAGGACATAGTACTAGTACGAAACTTTGAATTTTGAGTTGGGGAGAAGTCCGGAATTCAACTTTGCCTCCGCAGTTGGATTTGGTCGGTGTTATGTACAAAAACCGAGGAACAACAGGCATGCCTTCGGTGGGAGTCGAACCCACACTGTCTTCATATGCATTTCTCTGGGAAGGCACTCATAAATTGAGGAGGATCCCGCAATCTACAAAGGCTTTGCTCGGCCTTTCCTGCACCAAATATGTCTGAAATGTCCAGCAACATGCAGGTTCACTGGAAAAGACCGGGAAATGATGTGTGCGTGGTGTAGCCATGTACGGATTTTCGAACATGCCATTTGAAATACAAAGAAATTACATTTAATTTAAAGAGGGGTGTAAGCGCGCCGATGCGATGGGGTCCAAACAAAAAGATGAGTTTGAAAGACAGAGGATGCCTTCGGTGGGAGTCGAACCCACACTGTCTTCATATTTCTGTGACTGCATGATATGAAGAAGATGATCCCGCAATCTACAAAGGCTTTGTTGAGCCTGTTTTGAACCACGATAGTAAATACCCATTGCTTGTTAAGGTGGTACTAGTGCGAAACTTTGAATTTGAGTTGGGCACATGGAGAGAGACCGCAATTCAATTTGGCCTCTCCAGTGGATTTGGTCAGCATTATGTGCAAAAACGATGCGTGGACTAAACATGCCCTCGGTGGGAGTCGAACCCACACAATCCTCAAAGCAAATGACAAATTCGACCTAGCAGTTGAAGATGATTGACCGCAATCTACAAAGGCTTTCTTGAGCTATTTCTCAACTACACAATGATTGTCTTCTGAATGCAAGTAAGAAAGTCTGAGTAACAAGACTATTTCTCAATACAACTTGAATAAGAATCAGTGGGAGGCTGAGAAATCCAACAGTCATATCTATGTACTTCCCTCAATGCGATATAGTCTGCGGATACGTTGCGAGGTGCAAAAAACATGGTCTGGAAATCGAACCCACAGTGTCTTCATAATCTCTCGCCATGCCACTATGAATTTGAAGAGGATCCCACAATCTACAAAGGCCTTCCTACTTTCTTGCCCCGTGGTATGTGGTATGGGATACTGAAGTTATAATACCAAGGCAGCTAACACAATGTCCTCGTTGGTGTGCAAGTTGATACATAGTTTGAACCATGGGCACCTATGGAAATTTGAAACACATGAATGGGAGAGTTCGAAAATAAATAAATATTCATGCAAGAGCGGGCAGTGTAAACGCGCCGATGCGACCGGGTCCAAAAAGCTAAACTATATCTTCGGTGGGAGTTGAACCCGCACTGTCTTTATAATTTCCATCCTAGCAATCATGAAATGAAGATGATCCTGCAATCTACAAAGACTTTTCTGCTCATTTCTTGCCCTGTGGTATGTGGGGATAAATCAACAAGGCTATCACTATCCTCTTGTGGTGTGGGAGACCAGGAATACAGAATACATACTACTACTACTACTACTAGTAGTTGAATTATGCATTTTGGGAAACACGTGAATGGGAGAGTTTGAAAATACTCATGCAAGAGCGGTGCAAACACGTCGATGCAAGCAGGTCCAAAATGAAAAAAATGCGGATCACCGATGATATGCCTTCGGTGGGAGTCGAACCCACACTGTCTTCATATGCATTCCTCTGGGAAGGTGCCCATAAATTGAAGATGATCCCGCAATCTACAAAGGCTTTGCTCAGCCTTTCCTCCACCGTGGTATATCACATATATATGTACTGTGCCAAATATGTCTGAAATGTCCAGCAATATGCACGTTCACTGGAAAGGACCGGGAAATGAATGTGTGCGTTGTACAAATTTTCGAACATACCGTTTGAAATTCAAAAGAAAAATTCTCTTTGATTTACTAAAGAGGGGTTCAAGCGCGCCGATGCGACGGGGTCTAAACAAAAAGTTCGGATTGATAAACGGATGCCTTTGGTGGGAATCGAACCCACGCTATCTTCATATATTTTGTTCAAACATGATATGAAGAAGATGATCCCACGATCTACAAAGACTTTATTTGCTTTGTTTTGAACCACGATAGTAATGCCCATTGCCTCTTGAGGGGATCTCAATGCAGGACATGGTACTAGTACGAAACTTTGAATTTTGAGTTGCGGAGAGTCCGGAATTCAATTTGGCCTCCCCAGTGGATTTGGTCGGCGTTATGTGCAAAAATGAGGCGTGGACCAGGAATAATGCCTTCGGTGGGAGTCGAACCCACACTGTCTTTATAATTTTATTCTCGCCATCATGAATGAAGAAGATGATCCCGCGATCTACAAAGGCTTTGCTCGGCCTTTCCTGCACCAAATATGTCTGAAATGTCCGGTGAAATTCATACCTCTCATTCACGCCTTGACCGAATCTGTGTGGATAGCCAACACTTCAAACTATACCGAGGTTGGGAAATAAAACACTGCCCAGTTAAAAGTGATCATAGATTAGTAATGACCCAGTTAACCTGCAGAGTAGAGGAAAAACCAGGTAAAGGGAGATGGAGTATGCCACTCTACCTACTCAAGACTAAAAAATTCATGACTCAAGTAGCTTTACTTGCAGCGAAACTGCTGAAAGATCTAGAGGATTTGGAACAGTTAGATCGAGACCCAACACATAATATTCAAACTTTATGGGCTAAATTCAAACTTGATGTAGTAATTTATGGAAAACAGTGTTCAAGGTACATTACAGATGAATCAACTCGCCAGATACGAACATGGAAGGCACAGTTAGGATTGGTAATCCACGACGAAGACATGCCACACGATGACAGATCCATGGCTATATACCTTCTGGAGAGGAAAATTGCAGATAGACAGAGGGAAGTCTCTGAGAACAGAAGAGCATTAACCGATGCACGATATGACATCGAAGGCGAAACATTACGCACAAAATCCTGGACGAAATCTGCAAGAGGGTATCACCCCCAAAACTCAATTTACGAATTCTTGATCGAGGAGGACGACTCGAGTGTACGGAGTTATGAGTCCCGTCCAAGGAAAATGGCAAAGATGGCTCGAGATTATCATAACTCAGTCCAACAGAAGGACTGTCCAGATGAATATGGTAGAATGATGGCCACGGAAATTGTGCTTGAAAAGTGCAATGTACACTTGTCGGAAATTGAGTCCAGCGAGATGGAGAAAGAACTGAATACCGATGATGTCCGCGAAGCTTTGAAGCTCTCAAATAACGGGAAGGCTCCAGGCCTTGATGGACTGCCTTATGAATTTTACAAAACCCTTGACATTTTATTCCAACAGACCAGCGAATCACCCACTCCAAATTTCGATATACTAAGTCTCCTTACAAAACTATATGGTGATATCGAGAAATTTGGAATTGCTACGGATACTAAATTCAACATGGGCTGGCTTGCCCCTCTCTTCAAAAAGGGAGATAGATCGGTAATTAGCAATTATCGACCAATAACACTGTTGAATTGTAACTACAAGTTGTTTACAAAAACCTACTCATTAAGATTGATGAAGGTAGCACCATCACTGGTACATCCTAATCAAGCTGGTTTCATGAAGGGCAGGAAAATTGAAGACCAAGTGAAACTCACAAAATTCCTTTTGAATTATGCGGAGGCAGCAGAAGAGGATGGAATAATAGTAGCTCTTGATCAGGAGAAGGCTTACGACCGGATTAACCATGACTATCTACTTAGTGTCCTCCAACGCATGGGTTTTCCCAAAAAATTCTGCAATGTAATCAAGTCATTTTACACGAATGCAGAGACCGTTGTTATAGTGAACGGTGAAATCAGCAAGAGTTTCGTAGTTATTCGTGGGGTGCGGCAAGGCGACCCTCTTTCATGCCTACTGTTCAATATTGCGATCGAGCCTTTGGCCTGCCTAATACGGAGCTCAAAACTCAAGGGCATAAAAATTCCCGGAACAACTATGGATTTGATAATCTCATTATTTGCAGATGACACTACAGTATATCTTTCTGCCGGAGATTCACTGGAAACGCTGTGGGATATATTGCGGTTATGGTGTGCAGCATCAACGGCCAAGTTTAATGAACACAAAACTGTGTTATTGCCTTTTGGTCGAAAGTCCTATAGAGCTAAGGTGTTGACAGAGAGACGACTGAATGCAGAGTCCCGGATTGGGTGTATTGAATGGAAGTTACGAATAATACCAGATGGAGAAACATGTCGCATGCTAGGGGCATGGATTGGGAATGATGTTCCATATATTACACCATGGCCCTTGATACTCGAAAAAATTGCAAGTGATCTTGAGAGATGGAAAGCAACAGAACCAACTTTAGAAGGAAAACGACATATCATAAACATGGTGATTGGTGGGAGATCTCAATATTTGACCCGTGTTCAAGGCATGCCAAAGGAAGTCGAAGATGCACTAATCAGAGCCGAACATGTTTTCCTTTGGGTGGAAAAAAAGCAAGAGTTGCACATGAAACTATGATTCTGAACACCTCTGAGGGTGGTAAACAAATTCTGGATATCCCTAGCCGAAACGAAGCAATTGACCTGTGGAATTTACAATCTTATCTAGTACAGGGGGAGAAGCGAGCATTGTGGTGCTATTTTGTGGATTATATCCTTGCAAATTTTTTGGAGAAGAGCTACCTTAACTTCCATCCTGGGCAAATTGTTAATGTATTCTTGCAGGACATTCACATTCCATTATCCCAAAGAACCCAGTTGCCAAATGATATCAAGAGAATGATAAGTACAGCTAGAAAATTCAACCTCAAGTTCACAGGATTGTCCATTGGAAACAACCTAAAACTGGAAATGCCAATGTGGAAGCACCCGGGCATTAATAAGTCCCTATTCCAGCGGGCATGCCGCCGTGAGTCTGCAGCATGCCTGAGACTGAATCATAATGTACGTACTGTTCAAGACACCTTGTCCATTGCAAATTGTTGCACAATAGTGGCAAGAAAACCACATAATGTTAATCCGTCGGGGATTGGCCGGAAAAACTGTGGCTGCCCATCATGTTATCATGATCGAAACTTATTAAATTGTGAACATCCTGGACAGTGTGTCGAGACAGCCAAAATGTTAATTGGCAGTATCAACCCCAAGTGGAACCCAACAGTTTTAAATCTAGACTTATGCAATGAGTTGGGTCTTACACCTGAGGAACAGCAACAGAATAGTAAACCTATAGAAGCAGAACATGCGATGGTCTTTAACCCCAATATAGTTTTATCGGATTGGGAAAATGGTTTCCGGATTTTTGCATCCAAAGAACCACTCAATGAGATCTCAACGGCAAGATACAAAATACCGGGGCCGGAACCAGATCCAATGACTATTTTTCTGCAAGCCCGTGTCCTCCATCCAGGAGAGTTTGAACCAAAGATTGAAATGGTAATGAGAACTGTGGCTGATGATGGGCCTCAGCAACTTCTACTTGATATATCTTTCGACAATTCAAACATACCATTGACATTTTCTACTGCTCTATTAGGTGGAGTGCTTTTTATATTACAAAATACTCAAAGAAATGTTCCTCTTCTTATTTGCTCATCCTCAGATTTTTTACTCCGAGCACTGATAGTGGAACGACAAAAATCAGAAAACAATATGCTTGATCCGAAATTTCAGTTATTATGTTCGGTATTTGCGAGTCTGAATGAAAGAATCGGCCGAGTCAAATTTATGAAGGTTTCAAACAATCCTGCCACATTTGAACCTGGTCAACAATGCAGTATTGTTGAAATAGATACTGAAATTGATGTGATGTTCAAATGCCCTGGAATTCTATTATCTCAAGGCTCACAACACCTCTTCTCCAAAATTATACGAAGTTTAAGGCCGAAACAGTACCGGAAAGCCACGTTCACAAACCTCGATCGCATACACTGTTCAATTGCAGAATTTTCCAAATACACACCAAGTGACAAGATGATTTGGAAGTCGATTCGTGCACCCTTACTTCAAAGGTTGTCGCGTGAGTTCTTCTGGAAGTGCATACACAACACATTCAGGGTTGGTGATTTCTGGTCCCATATTGATACCCTAGAAATTCAGGGAAGATGCCATGTATGTGATGTTCCAGAAACGTTGGAACACATTGCTTTAGAATGTTCGACTCCAGAACGGAAATTAATATGGGACCTATCTGAACAGCTTTGGTCCAAGAAATATAATGATTGGCCAAATCTGAACTGGGGATTGGTCTTAGGCTGTGGCCTGGTTACATTCAGATCTGAAAAAGGTGCTCTGATTCGAGAGAAGGGCCGACTATTTGCCATCCTGGTATCAGTTGCATGGAAGCTAATATGGAACCTTCATGTAAACCAAGTTATTGTATCCCCAGACAGGATTATATCTGAAATGGAAATTCACAACAAATGGCTGAAGGCAGTTAATGGTGTGCTCCAACGGGACTGCCTATTGACAGACAAAATAAGATTTGGACTGTTTGCCTTCTCCAAGCAGATGGTCCTAAATACTTGGAGTGGCCTACTTATGGATGAAGACTCACTGCCGGATGATTGGACATATGAGGGGGTTTTAGTGGGTATGCAACCCTTAGTTGATAGACATGGGATAGGTTAGCATATTTTGCGGGTCGGAGTCCCACACTGGTAAAAAATGTGCGTAATGGCATTTCCTCCTGAGCTTTTTTCCCCGGCAATGACTGGCTAAATACCAGCGACACAAGCGGATGACCTTGGAATGCTTCTGCAGACTGAGTATCATTATACCAAACGCTCCAAAAAAAAAAAAAAAAAAAAAAAAAAAGATGATCCCGCGATCTACGAAGGCTTTGTTGAGCCTGTCTTGAACCACGATAGTAATTACCCATTGTCCTGTTAAGGGAATCTCAATGTAGGATGTAGTAGTAGTACGAAACTTGAATTTTGAGTTGGGCACATGGGGAGAGTCCGGAAATCAACTTGGCCTCCCCAGTTGGATTTGGTCGGCGTTATGTGCAAAAATGATGTGTGGACGACAAATGCCTTTGGTGGGAGTCGAACCCACACTGTCTTCATATATTTTTCCGTGCTTGCATGA